CATTTTTGAAAAGAATCAACAATTATAAGAAGTTCTTTATTATGGATCTCATAGTTAATCTCAGCTATTGAAACATTTTTGGAATGAAAAGTTACTAGATAGAGCTTGTCATCTTTTCATATTTATGACAAAATAGCACCCATAGTAAAATTTGATGCATTTTTTTCTATAAAAAAAATACCTTAAAAAAACCAATGCGATATAAGATTGGTGCAAAAATAAATATCAACTTCAAGGCTTCAAAAGATGCTTCAGCTTCTTTGCTCCAATCAAGTTTGTCTTTGCATGCAAGATTTGTAAGAAGAATCACAACTTGAAAAAAAATCTTAATGAAGATTCAATAGTAATTAGAAAAGCCTAAAAAGCATTGCACATCTCTTATTGTTCTTAAAATCTTTCAATCTATAATAGTTTGAACCTTCTTTGGATCCATTATAAATCTTTTGTAGGAAATGATATATCCTAAGAAGTCAACTTGAGTAGTATGGAATATACACTTTTTTAACTTGGCGTCCAATCTCGCATCTCTAAATTTTTATAAGACATGAAAAATATAAACTTCATACTCTTCTATATTTTTAGAATAGATTAAAATATTTTTTGAGTAACATACAACAAAATCGTCTAAAAAATCACAAAAAATATCATTCATGAGATGCTAAAAAGTAGCCAATTCATTCATGAGTCTAAAAGGCATGACATTATATTCAAAGTGTCCATATCTTGTTCAAAATGTAGTCTTCTTTTCATCTCTTTCTTTAATGTAGACCAAATTATATGTTCCTCATAGATCTATTTTTGTATAGATCTTAGCTTGATTTAATTGATCAAGAAGTCTAGATATCAAGGATAAAGGGCATCTATTTTTGTTAGTAATCTTGTTGAGTCCACATTAATCTATGCACATTTATAATGATCCATCTTTTTCTTTACAAATAAGATAGGAGCTCTTGCTCGAGATTTTGAATGGCATATGAAATTCTTAGCGAAGTTCTTGTGAATGATACTTTGAAAAAATATCTGCATTTTTTTTCTCAAATACATCTTGAAAATCTTCATATTGACTTAGAAAGCCACTTGAAGTCTTTCTACTATTAAAAATGGATGTGGCATAAATAACAAAAGGCGATCCTTCTTTTGCAGTATACAAGAAAGTTTTTGAATCGACAAGTATGGGTTTGGCTATACTAGATTCATGACTTTCCATAAAACTTTTAATAGTACTTTGAAAGAAATTAAATTTACAAGAAATCCAATCTATCAAAAGATTATATCTTTTAGCCATGATAAACCTAAAATTATTGGATTAGAGAGAGACCTAATTATATTAAAAATTATACAACTATTATGACCATTTATTGTTACATCTATAGAAAGTATTCTATGAATAATATCTGTAGAAGATAACAGATAGCTATCTACGACTTCTACATTTACATGTTTAATTTTTTGTATTAATGATATTTTATGGCTTTTAACAAACTCTTCATCTAAAACACAAGTTAAAGCTCCTGAATCTATCAAGGTAGAAACTTCGTGATTATTAGATCCTAAATACACATCTATCATAAAATAAGCAAAAGGTTTTGAGGAAAGAATAAGACCTTCATTTGTACAAGATTCCAACTGCATCGTCCCTATTATAGCTAAGCAAATTCATTTTTTGATATGTTTTCTTCTTTGACAATCGTACTCATCATTTTATAATTGCATCATTTCTTTGGACAATATTGAGCAGTATACTTAATTTCTCCATAATAGAAATAGAGCCCTTCTTAACAACAATAAGTCTGTTTTTTGTTTAGTAAGAGATTTAAAACTTATTCTATGAATTTATATGTCTTCTACTTCCAAATTTTTAGATTAAAAGGTTATTGATGTTGTAATTGAATTGTAATATAGTGAAGATTTTCTTGCACAATTTTTAGATTGAAACTCAAAAAGCTAATTATCACACTTCGTAGCAAAATCAATTGCTTGACTTAATGTCTAAAGATCAAATAACTTGAGAATCAATTTTTTTACTTCATATTGTAATTCGTAGAAAAATTGGATGATAAAGGCAGCATCATTTTACTTGATATCAATTGCTAGTTGTCAAAATTATCAAGCATATAATATCACTAATTGATTGCCTTGTTGCAAGATACAAATCTTATTAATTGTAATACAAATTGCATCATGTTCACTATACATGGATCGAAACTCTACCAAAAAAGCCTCCAAAATATCCAATATTGGATTTTGTCATTCAAAAAAAGATGAAAACAATGATAATGTCAAATTTGAAAGAAGTGTATCAATGAATCTAATTTGTGATTTCAATGTTGGATAGCTTTGAGATTGAAGTTCAATCACAAGTTGTACTTGATTGATAAATTTTTGAAATTTGAATCTTGTACTATCAAACTTCTTAGATAATGCAACTTTAGATTCTCTAATACTAGAAGAGTGTTCTACTATAGAAGAGGAGATGTAATTTAGTGTAGATATTGAAGCAGCTATAATCATTTTTGTATCTTCTTTTCCAGATATTTTTGTTGCTCTAAGTAGCAATAAACTGAATAGATGCATCGCAAGTATCAACTCCTTTAATTTCTCTTGTATTTGTGCCATTGCATTCTTCATTTCAAGAAGCTCTGCCATAATAACACTATGAAAAAAAAATATCAAATATTGTTGAAGACAAATAGAAGAGAAGACTTGAGAACAAAGAAAATATCAAAAATAATATTAGTTTAGAAGAGGGTAATCTGCAACTTCTAATACTTTTATGTCTTATCAAAAAAAAAAGGAGTAATCTACTCTTAATCAAAAAAAGACAAAGCTCTAAAACTGTAAATATACACTTGTCAATTTCTCAAAGACATGAACTAAAAGAAAATGCATAAACTTTAAAATTTTATTTTAAAAGAAAAGTAAAAAAATATAAATAAAGAAGTATGTATATTAAAAAGATATTTGAATGGCTATTGCCAAAAGATAAGAAAACTAGAGACTCTTGAATCTAAACTAAAAAAAAAAAAAAAAAAAAAAAAAAAAAAAAAAAAATGACAAGAGTGAAGAAGGCTTCATTCTTACCTCTATATATACTATCTACCTAGGATCTATGTAGCGACATTCTATAGGACCTCCAAAAATATGTTGACTTTGTATAACATATATCTTAACTTGCAAGGTAAGTTTTTTATATAGATGCGACATAATTACCTTGTTGTCCAAGCTACCAACACATGTGGCATATAGATAGCTTGTTGACCAAGTTCTAACCTACTAATCAACTACAAATATATGTAAAATCAAAACAGCATCTAAGAAGCTTTTAAAAAGCTTTTTTAAAAGGTATTATGAAATTAATCTATTTTTATATAATTCTACTTATTCATATTATCTAACTAGCAATTATAGTAGATATATATCCATGACATTGAAAATTAATATTAATTTATGTTTCCATATATTAAAATATAAACCTTCAAATTTTGAAACATGATTGATGTATACTTTTTGTGTCATCTTTAATATTCTTAATTTGAAGTTGAATTGAAATTATTTATTAATTTGTTCTTGAAGCATTCAATTTTACCTTTATTTATGATTTGTTTATTATCATTTTTAGGTTTATATTTTATGCTTCTCAAGGTTTGAAGAACTTCAAGCTTTTCATCAACATTTCCTATTACAATAGATTATTTTATTGCTATCATTACAATCTTATTTGTAATTTTAGCAAATTTTTTCTAGATTGAAGCATTCATCTACTCTTATAGTTTTTAGGGATCAAATATTTCTATAGTTCTGATACCATGTTGGAAACATTATATGTATTGATATATGATCAATGTTACACAGTACATTATATTGTGTGTACAAAAGTGATACCAAGAGTCACAACTCTTGGTGTAAGATCAATATTTAGTAGATAGTGTTCTATACATGAGACTAGTGTACTATACAGAATAATTCTCCCAATAAGGTGTACAGGGCATACTACAGTCAGTGTTTTGAACGTTGACAAAATAGATAAGAAATATGTGTAGGTCTGGACCTGCAGGCAATGCACGCTCCCCATGCTCATTGCCTCCGTCCCCTCTAAGTCCGCTTCAATTTCCTGACATAATGCATCAACCCTCCTACTGAGGGGTGAACGCAGTGGTTTTGCCTACAGCTCCCCTGCCAATGGCCGCGCCTCGGCGCAATGTAATTTCATAGTTACTTTTAACTCCGGTGGGGCTTTTTAAGGTGGTGTGACAGTGCTTGACCAAGCACTCCGCCATGAATTCTGACACCGACCATGGTGAGACAGATCGAGAGAGAGAGAGAAGTGGAGCGTCGGTGGACTGCTCCGACGTGAAACCGACTATCACTCACCCACGGATTGTAAACAGCAGTTGATATTGTATATACAGACACCCGCCCTCTGGAGATCGTGCGCTTGGCCGGTCTGGTACTTCTCATTCATTCTACTACAGACTGTTGTGTGCATTTTGGGGGAAAATGAGGTAAAAATTGTGGTGTGTTTTTTCTGACATCTTCTAGCTCGCTCTGGAGTAATATAGATGCTTGGAGCTGGAGGAGAGAAGCACATGGTTGACGATTTCATTCAAAAAGTAATCCAAAGCCAAAGAGGATTGATTGTTACTCCCATAACAGGAAGCCAGCCAATGCTGTGAACACCTGCAGCGGGGAGAAAGACCACAGGGAATAGTCAAGTGAATTCGCCGGTTCTTACGTCAATGTAATCGTCTTCAAGGATATGTCTCCGCTGCATCAGCTCCTTCAAGATCCATGTCCCCAACTTCGCCAAATTCTTTAAACGAAAGGACTGAACACAGATCCTCCGCCAGCCGCCATATTGAGTCTACAGTGAAACGGCAACAAAATCCATTTCAGCTGTGTCTGCACTTACACACTTGCACGTTATACCTCCCAATTTTTGGATTGAAGAGTGTATCAGGAAAAAGCATGTACAGAAATATACAGTGAAGTGGGTTGGGAGATTGAAAAATAAGGGACTGCCTGTGCAGCTTGAGTGAATCTCATTATTGACAGACACCCCGTAAAGAATTAATCTTTTCCACAACCATTCCTGAGAATGCAGTGATATTACAATAATAAAGGGCTGGTGAGACTAGTTGCGCGTTGTGCAGCGCAGATACTCACTTGCCCCATGTCCTACATTTTACACGTCCACTGTGCGTCTACGCGCCAGCTAGGAGTTCGAAGAATGAACCGTTTGTATACATCTACACGAATCAAATTGTCACTAATCTGTGCTTTCCTTCTGGAATATGCAAGTTTAATTTTGTGCTGATGGTATCTTTTCCCACCCTACGGTATATAAACAGTCCCTGAGATGTACAGCGGATATGTACAAAAGCAGCACTGCGCAGTCGATAAAATTACCCCCCCCCCCCAGACTTCGGTTAATCACTGCTTACTGGTAAAGATGAATTTGCAATTTTCAATTAGCTCATTGCCACCGGGACGGCGCACGTCATTGCAACTTAAGGCAAGGTTCAGTGTCGAGGCGATTGGGAATCAGTTGAAATCGCCGGCGTAGCTAAAGTTGAAGTCCATACTAGGCGGTGTCGGAATTGCGGGATAAACCGAATGCTCGGTTACTGCAGGCCCTCCATACGATGGATTTGACCGATCCTCGTAACTCACTGCAGAAAACATGGTTTCCAGTCCCTGATCATTGCTAGATCTAGCGTTTGTGTATCCCATGGCAGACGACCGGAGCGTGCTTTGCACTTCCTCATCGAATGTGGAGTGACCCGCCGGCAATATCTTCTCCTGACCACTACTCGGGCAGAGGTGGTAAGATCTCGGCGGATGCCGGAACTGGGCCATGAAGCTGTTGGCCATGGGTCGGGTGCTGAGAGCCGGACGATGTACAGAGGATGTCGATGCCAGATGTCCCATGAGCCTTGAACTCTCAAGGGTATCATGGTTAATGGTCATAGATTGCTGCAATTTCCAGTCATTGGCCAAAGTCAGCAAACTTCCTGGGTTATTCGACATCGTCCCTTTCTGAATGCTGTCAAAGTTGGCTGACAAACACCCATTCTCTGAGGCCTTCTCCGTCAGCCTGTTGTCCCCAAGAGCCTCCTGCTGAACCGCTAATTCTAGGTTTCCGTTCAGCGAATTGAGGCGAGGTAGGACGAACCTGAGGTCGTCAACTGAGTCGGGAAGCGACGCTAACACCTCTTCGACGCTGGAATTCTCGTACTCCTTGCTAGCTCGTTGCGCGTGAGAGGTTTTTTCATAAATTCGGCATAGGACCCAATCATCAAGCTGCATTACCAAAATTTAGTCAAAAGGTGAGGAGGAAAATTCTCGAGACTACGTTGGACATGTTCTCAGAAACCCTAGAAGTTCAACTTCGAAAACCTGGTCCTAAATTCTCATAAACAGCCTTTAATAAGACCTAACGGTAGTGCATGTGAGGTGGGGGAATGGAGGACATACTCGCGAAGAGTTCCTTCGAGGATGATGAGTGGAGGTCGAGACACCTTCAGCGAGGCGATACTCGTGCATGATCCAGTTCGTTTTCTCGCCCTTTGGTGCTTTACCGCGGTAAAAAACCAGCGCCTTCTTCACTCCCACCTTACTGTGTCCTTTGGACATGTGGATGGGCTTATCTGTCCCTGTGGCTTTCCAGTAGCCACTCGCGGCAGCTCTGTTGGGCCTGGCGCCATTGGGGTACTTCCTGTCCCTTGGAGAAAAGAAATACCATTCTCTCTCTCCGAACAACGCCTTATCTGTACTCGTTGCACAATTAAGCATCACTTGTTAGGCCACAGACTACAATTTGGGGATCCTTTGCAAGTATGTTACGACATGATTGCACTGTTGTCATATGTACAGACAAACCCAGCTGCACGCATTAATTCCAATTCGCAGGACCAAAAAACAGCTTTGAGAATAAGGACGCATCTAATTCTATTGGGAAGGAACACCGATAAACCCAGGAATGGCTTGGTCCCCCCCCCCCCCCAGAGCTTACGCACATGTAAAAGTTTTATAATCAAGTATTCGATTCCAGGTTTGAAACATCGCTCACCCAGGTAGTACTGGATGTGAAGTTGGATGGAGAATCTTACTGGGGAGATCCCAAGGGTCGAACTTGTACAGGTCTACTTCAGCTATGACGGGTATTTGGAAGACTCCAGAGTTTGCCTTCCGGCGGAGGTAGTGCAGCACGAGCTCCTCGTCGGTTGGGTGGAAGCGGAAGCCTGGAGGTAAGCGCAGTTGGTCAATGGATCCTCGGGTCGGCTTCATGATCACCATCGTACTCGTGGAATCGCAATTCTCAGCAAACTTTTCGGTGTATTCTAAGAATCCGAAGAAACTTACACGCTGAGAAGTATTCCAATTTTGTACTGCAGGTCAAGTGCTGCCTGGCCAAAGTTATTTTTCTTCGTTTCCCTCTTAATTTGTTTTATTAGAAATGTTACTCTAGACTGGATGCAGGATACTTGGCTTCAACACTGCCCGGACAAAGTCTTGCAAGGCTGTCACTGGAGGAAGACGAGGTACCTAGACTGGATGATTCTGGCAAAACCTTGTCTGGTTAGCCGACGGGCGCTTACAGTAGTAGGAGAAGTAGTAGTTGTAGTGGTAAGGTGACTAAGACGGATCTTTGAGACAGCGGGAAAGGATAATCTAATGAACTTGGATTCGAACACTTTCGGCATTAGTGCAGCAAGTCCCGTGGTGGAAGGCTTCCTGAATCGATACTACGCTACCATGCTCACAAATCCGCAGACCTTGCTACGATTCTTCTTTACCAGAAACTAGATTCACTTTTAAGGAGGCTTCTCAAGACCTCGTTTCCACTTACCTACTTGTCCAGCAGCGCTTTCAAGTGAGGACTGGACTCAAATGTTTCTAAATTGGAACACTCTTGGGCTCAATTCTCATGAAACCACCTTGGTCCAAATTGTTTTGCGGAATGATTCATTTGCAAATCTGTATCCTCCAGCAAAGTTACTATGAGAGGGCCTTTCTATCATTAATTTTAGTTCCTATGCGAACGAGAAGTATGATGACAAATTCAAGGCTACTCTGGTGTGTTTGCCTTATCGTCTACCAAGCTGTCGTCAAACGATAATCTGGCGCCACAAGTGCTGTAAACTTATGATTAACAACTGCTAAGTTTTGCCTCTCATTTCATGCTTCACTAGAACATGCTCTACCTCGAATTGAACCTAAAGGTCGCAGAGGCTAATCAAACCCTCGCTTACTACTCTCTGTGACTATCTAGAATATTAAGGGCGTCTGAGTTCATGACACTTTATATGAACATACTTCAATATTAAGCTAGATAAGCTACCTACATGTCGTTGTTCTCCTAACAGTGATAGAAAGCAAATTTTCGGACTGCGGCGCTCGACTCGGGATCTTCAATTCCCTGGGAACTTTTAGCACCACTTATCCCTCGACCCTGAGCATCACTTCAGTAATACAGCTGCTGTCTCCAGCGACGCTGAGCTACACGCTCCACAAACTTAAACTAAACAGAATTTCACACAGTATGAAAGGTATCAGCACCAACCCACACGCAAGCAGGTCGCCACGCTAGCCACGGAAGTTCTCTCCGACCCCCTCCGCTCGTAGACATACCGGCTTATGAAACACCTGATCACTGAAACGAGTACTGCACCACGGAATCAGAATGTATAAGTAGTTGATGAGACTGTACATATAAACCAGAAACGTTGGCGGCGTTGATAAGGCGGAGTTAGGCTGCGTTGATCTGAGCTGCGACGATGGTGTTCAGACAATAGAATTGGGGGCGAAAAACTATGGGAGAGGCGGAGAGAAGTGGTTAGGTAGTGCAGAGCCATTGCCTAGAGACGGCGATGAAGATCACGTTGGGAAAGTCTTCTGGGCCCCACGCTCCATCGTCTATGTGCATGCAACTCAGACACAGTATTCCTCTCATGAACTTCTCGCCCTTTCTCCCAGGCCCCACCTCCCGCTTTCACTGTCACCAGGTTTCTTCACTGAGCCTCCGACAAGCGACTGCATCCTCACCCTACATTCCAATCCCTGCCAACAATAGCAATGCTGCGTTCTCCATCGTCTGTCTGCCGATCAGATCGTCCGGACACTATCGCAGCTCTGATTCTATCAGAACTCCCATTCCTTTTGAGAAAACAGGCTCATGTCCGTGAATTCCGCAACATGCGATACAATCGCGGCCACGGCGGTCGTGCTTTCACTGACATCACCCGATCGCATTCCTGAATACCGATATGTAAGTCTTGAGAATCAACGCCTTAATTGAGAAAAAGCTACTGATCGAGCCATGGATTCCGTCGGGTAGGCTCCACGAGAGGAGTGGAGAGAGAGACAGACAGACGCACGGTTTCAAAACCTGGTTCCAAGCATGGTTTAAAGAAGGAGGCGGATAAAGGACTCTTGTGGAATATTCCATCCACGTAGATGAAATGAAGATGTGTGGATGGAATGAAGGATGAATGAACTTTTTGCCTTGCAGATATGCCTCTCCAGGCTTGTCCTTCCGAAGGGTAGAAAGCTAACGAATAGTAGGCGAGATGGAGCGGGGCCGGCTCGATTCGGATCGGGCCGGACCGGGCCCCAGTTTAGGTACCCGGCCCGGGGCTGAGTAGGCCACCCACTACTGCTTTAAGAGTTGTTGGCCATGTGGGGGGACTGGTGCCCGTTGGCAGAAACCGAGGGCACTGAAAAAGAGTCCCGACATATGGGCGTGCGCCACGCGTCCTTCAGCACCAGCTGGACCCTGTGGAACTATTCCGCGGAAAGCTTCTTCGCGGGAGCTGAGGTGGACGTGAAGGGAAATTCTTGCCTTGGTGGCGTTGGAGTGTGGGTCGGTCTTCCAAAAGACATGAAGAAGCCGGTGGAGGAGAATGACGTGGGACCCATGACCGTGGCCCTAATTTCACCCCCAACTTTTGATGGGTATACCATATTTGATAAAAATAAATTATTAATCTATTTGAAAAGTGATGTTTAAATAATGAAGGAAAGGTAAAACCCCTTGAACCTTCTTAATAAAAATGTGCGAAATTGGTTATTTGCCATTAGAACAGTAAATTGAAACAAGTTAGAAGATATATGTTTATGATTCTATCAAAACATTGTTCCAATTTGTTCGAAGGAAAATAGGCCATAATTTTATTTTAAAAAAACTATCCATTAAATTTTATGAATGGAACGGAAAATTTTAAGTTGGAAAGTTTGTTGGTGGAGAATTTGACCTGCAAGGCAGTGTTCTTGAAGTCATCCAAAAGTTCAGTTTCCAAGGGGAATCGAATATTTATATTTCATTGTTAGTTTAAGAAGCATCATTCACAACTTTCCTAATAAAGAATAAGTCAAGGTCCGAAGAACAAAATCCTTGGGCGTAATAATATGAAAGCAAAGCGGTAAGACCAGGGCAGGCACATTAACTACTTGAGCTCCTACAATAGTTTTGAAACCCCATACCTTCGTCGGGGGAAGTTTCATCATTTGACTCACATTTAGGGTATTATTATCTTGCTTCCATGAAAGTCCTAAATTGTGCAACATTCACGACCTACTTAAACCTAGATCAGGTGTAAATAAATGAAACAGGGACTGCAAGATGCAGGTCTGATGTGGTAAGGATAATACATTTAACAAACTGTTTGAAAGTAAAATGAATTAAAAAAGAAAAAAAAAAGAAAAAAAAAAGTCAAAGCTGTTACATCTGTACAGTCCTCCCATGTGCTGCAGAAGAAAAACAATAAAAAAAAAATTAATAATAAATAAAGCAACTGTAGCGCGGGGGACTAAACCAGGGAGCCTCTTATGACCTCAACTGATAACCCATACAATAGCTTTTACTAATAAAAGAAATGTACAAGAGATCCTCATTTTATGCTGATAAAATTTTAGTGATATTCCTTCTCTACACTACCTCCACTGAGGAAATTCCTTATAATCAGATATTGGTTTTTAGTAAATAAACTGGGTGAGAAACAATTGGTAGAACGAAAATCTCCTTTTCAATGCTAAAGCGACAACAAGACACATAAAAGCTCTCGGTCATTGGCCTCAAACCTCAAGTAAAATAGACATCCTCACATTCCCATATCTCCAGACTCGATAACTTGCATCTGACAACCGAAGCGTAGAATAGAGGTGATTCTTATGGATCCTGTTGATGCAGAAAACGGGGCTAAGACCAAGTAAATTCGGCACCGACTTTAGAGAGTCGGTAAAGTCGACCTGGAGGATGGTAGTAGTCTGCAGTACCCTTTTGTTTCAGTTGGTAACACCCGCTTAGATCAACATTCTGTGCTATGCGGATAACGAGAACATTGTAAGTTCTGAGGGCATCAAACAGTTTCACTGGTAATGGAAACAACCCTTTTATGAGTAACTCCACATGTGCTTCTCTTAGTGTGTCATGCGAACATTTCCCAGAGGTTATCATAATAATAATCATTTCCGTAAGTTTAGCAACTGCTTCAGACGTTAAGTAATTACGCAAGGCGATTATTTTCGGCCTCAGCAAAATCCTTTGATCAAATTAAGAAAATACCGTGTGCCAGATTCAATCAAATCATGGCAATACATATGCCGCTGTGAGAGAGACACAAATCTACAGAGGGGCAACCAAAGACTCCGCTCTCCAACTATTTCTTCTTAAAAAATGACAACAAACTACCTTGCCCTGGTCCTTGCCCTTGCCCTTTCGACGCAGCTTTGCCTCCAGTTTTAGCAGGAGCTTTGGCAGTGGTCTTCTGTGGTGGTTTAGATGGTGCGGTAGCCCTACAGAAACCTCAAGGAATGTGCACAGTAAGATTTCAAAAACTAGATGATCTTACAGCAGCTAGATTTTTGTGGAGGATTCAGAACCATGTTGCAAATTACCGGCAGTTAGGAGTTTCAGGTTAGAAGATTGAAAACCATCCAATACCTTTCAGCAGCCACCTTCGATGCTACAAGCGGTGCTGGAACCTTGTCCGGCACAGGTGCAGGCTTTGCTTCAGGCACATCCTCCACTCCATCTGTCTCCCACACTACTTCTGTCACTGAGCAATTATAGCAAGACATTGATCAGATTTTCAGTATGCTAGTTCACCTGCCAGTTTTAGGCAAAAGGCACTGACAAAAACGATTGCATAGAGCTGTGCAAGTAGTGAAGATAAAATCTGATACGTGACGCAACTACTACCGAGATGTCGAGAATAAAGTTGCAAGTTAAAAATTTAAGTGGGATGATTTTTCCTGTCATTTACCTTCTCTGCCACGGTTGTCAATTCTTGTCTTGAGCACTTTCTTTCGCTTTGGACCAGGGTGAGGCTTTGCAAGGATTTCTGTTTCAATTTCCGCCTCCCTCTTTACTCCGCCTGAAGACCCAACTGGCTGATGGGCTTTTTCTGGAGTACTAGCTACAACCACTGGTTGTGAACTACTATTATCCCCTTTCTCTTCGTCGATTTCCATCCCCGTTGGCCCTACAAAGTCTGCCTCTGCTCGTGTGTCTACATTTTGACGCTCCACCGTTTCTACCGGGACTGATTTCTTAAACGGTTCCGGAGATGCCAGGTTGATGGCAGCCTGGGAGTTGATTATCTCGTCATCTTCAGACAACTCTTCATCGAAAACAACCTGCCGTTTCCGCCCCTTGCCGTTCTTTGCTTGGCAGCGCCGAATCCGAGCGAAGTCATTCCCCTCCCCATCACTGCTCGACTCATTACCATCAGCTTCCATTGCTCTAATTCCAGCCTCTGCATCACCTGTGAACAAGTGACAGGTGAGAATCAAGCAGATCTGAGTTTTCATTCCCAAAACACACCATTGGAATCTGTTGACATAGAGTATCTCGAACCGCTAAATCGACCGGTCCCTGCTTCAGAATTATAAGCACATGAACAGGGAAAGTCACTGTTACAATTAGAAACAACGACTACGAATTACGAAATCTATATATTATTAGGTTAGAGCAATTGAAGCATACCAGCAACGAGGGCAGGTTTAGCTTTTGACTCTTGTGGAGTATCGGCCTTAACTTTTGCAGGTGCTCTTCCCCACAGATTAGCCAAAGAACCACCTCCTACTGTCATGCCCACTTTTTTCTTACCAGTAGCGACATTTTCTGCCACTGCTTTACCAGGAACCCCAGTCGTTGCTGAGCTTTTTCCAGAACCCTCTTCGTTAACAACTGCTGCTCCTTTCAGTGTGTTCTTCACATCTGTTTCCTTCTGAGCTGTAGGAGTCAGAGATGTCGATTGAGGTACTTGTGGTTCTGAATTGGAAGGCTTTAAGCCTGCCAAATGCTTCGAGGATGCAGACACACCCACAGACGAGGATGGTTCTGCTTTCTGTTGCTCAACCACTGGTTTACTTCCTCCAGCATTTCTTATGACAAGTGAGTACGAAACTGAACTAAACCTGCACAAGAAAGGAATAATCGTTAATCGTTTAAACCGAGATCATATCTTATGACACAACCGATGACAAAGTACACACCAATATCGTGGTCGAGGTACGATTCTTAGGCTCACATATTCGTAGGGATGGAAAGTGCATAACAATGCGAGTCACTGACCGATTATCTCGAAGACAATTGTCAATATCACGCGGTTGCATGAACAATTCCTGAGCTTGCACAAACTCAGCACTGAACAGCTGAGCAGGATCCTTAGTTAGGCAAGGTTGCACACTGTATACATGGTGGGATGCAGACCCGTCAAGTCCCAGTAATGCATCTGCACAAATAGCAGACGAACACAAATTCTTAGGGCGGGTACACAGATTTAATGAGATCTCTGCACTTGAAATTATCCCCCACCGTCCTCCAACATAACGATAGCATCGGAAGATACGAAGCGATACACTCTAGTAAATACATAACAGACATGGTAGTTAACAAATGCATAGATCATAAAGACACCTAAGCGGCAAGCTCTGATTGAAAAGAATATGTCGAGGCCGGTGTAAAATGACAGGAGTACCTTGCAACTTGGCTTTTGGCACAAGTTGTACAGTGTAAGTCGATGGTTCACTTTTTGACCATCCAGAAACGGCGTATACAACTTCAACCTTATTCCCCTCGTTCTGTTTGGCAAATTCTTGTAAGATCCTGGTTCAAATACAAAGTGAAGCAACTAAATGAGTTGCTCCAAACAAATAATCTTTTAGGAATAAAACTAGGAACGGATGCATGAGTAGACCGGTAACCCTACACCGGCAAGAGTCCTACAATTTTCAACTAACTGTTAATTTAAACATTCAATGCACATCGATAATCATCGGCAGCTCACGAGTTACCTCTTTGCGACATTTGAAGAAACAGAAAAATTCCGACTCAGCCACTTATAAGACACCTGCAAGCATCCCTCAAGGACCTCACATAGTCAAGGACAGCATGCGATACTACCAATCAAATCTTGCATAAAAAACGCAGGTGAAATTCTTAGCGCACAATTAAATTAACAAGTTTGAGTAATACACAGACAGCTTCCAAACATTAGATTGTCATCCATCCAGACAGTAAAAGTCCACAAAGCACCCAACCATTAAGCATCATATCATCGAGAGTTGGTCGTTAGAGTAGTGATATGTGGAGAATGAAAGGAGAGAAGAGTTTCATAGAGGTCAAGTTGAAAAAAGAAGATAAGCTACCAATAGGATGAATGAGAGAAGAGAGAAGCTCTCAAACTGGACAGAACGTCCTAACGCATGTCTCATTGAAGAATGCCAGACACCAATTCAAGACACCTTGAGGAGGGAGAACCGTACCACTTGAGAGGCATCAATGACAAGAGACTGGACTTGGTCAAGAATTCCTGAGTCCGGTACAGAACCCTCCATGGCCCCAGAAAAGTAATTGCAATGTACTAATTTCACTGAACTAACTCTAACACTACCAAGTCTTCATATTACTGCACTACATAACTTCTAATCGACCTCAGTATCCTTTGTTTCCTCGAATACGTTTGGTCATGTCCACCTGCGGCAGAGAAAACAACCTCAGAGTTGTTAAGGGACAAGTCATTCATTTGATAACCAGAAGAAACTCAGAAAACCTCATATGCAGAAATATGACTTGTCACACTAAGTTCATATTAGAACAATAGATACTTCAACGCACCAATTTCTAGAGATCCGCTAAACCAACAAACCAGACCGGCAGAAAACCATTCAATAGAGCTATCCTTCGCTTGCCAGATCAAGGTTTCCAAGTTTTGCCACAACGGCAATGGATTGCAGAGAGACAGCATGTGAGAAGCACCTGGCCACGTTTGCACTGAAAATAAGTCTCTCGCAGACCCACACAAACGGAAGGAACTGAAGGCGGTCTCTCTTTAGCACATTCCTTGAAACTCCGCTTCTCTTCCTGCACCAGGGAAAAAAGCACGAGCCATGAACCATATTTACTTAATCATACTCATATGAAAGCAGCAGATGAAACTACTAAGAAAAAAAGGCAAAAAATCCTCAAGTAAATGAAAATTCTATCGAATATACCACGAACAGATTTCAAACTCCTGGTAATAATCACTGAGAGAATGTATACAAGCACTTCAAGTATAGTGCCATTCTGAGAGCCACACCATAGCACAAAAAGGAGCCATTTGGAAAAATAAAAATTAGAAGCAAAAAACTCAAACCACCAATCAATCAAATCATCACAGTTTGATTCACAAAGGCAATTTAGACCTGAAAAGAACTCGTTTCAACTTGAAGGATAGCTTGCGAAAATGAAGGATCGATCCCATGGCAAGTGGTCACTCAATGGAGTAGAGCAAGAATATTATATCCATCTTCTTTCACAAATGGAACACCGCAACAATTTCACGAATTCAAAGGAAGTAAACAACTGGGGATAAGAAGAGCTGACAGCCTTTCGACCTCTACCACGATATATTCGCTCCTAAGCCAAGTGTAATCGACATTTCTCAAGTGCAATGCAAAACCAAGCTTCCAAGAGCGGTAAAAAAATTTAGGGTTCTTGAACTTGATCAAAATCCTGATCGCACGCGCACATTGCTCGACCAAGTCTACCCCTCTAAGGTGTCTCGCCTCAACAGAGAGCGCAGACGCGCAAGAACCACAATTCCACCTGCTCCAACTAAATTCCAGCAGAAGCTGACCACTAACGTCACTCTACACGATAATCCACCCACTCACATCCAAACAGCAGTGGCGCAGTCGCATCTGCCGGACAACCCCCAACCAGCCCTACTCGCACCATCTATCCTTTACATTCAAACACCTACTCCCTCACCTCAACGCAAACACCTAAAACCCTTGCAATCACACCACGTCCGAGAAGAAACTAAACACCAAAACCTAAGCCACCTCTTCACGGAATCGTTTCAACGGAAGCTCATGAAAAACGCGCGGCACTCACAGACAATTGAACAGCTCAAGTGACCTCGGAAACAAATTGCGATTAAATCCTGAAATTAGCACCGATTTGGGAAAGAAAAAGGGGGACAGAGAGGTGAGGAGTGGGCGATGAGGAGGGGTGGAGTGGAGTGGAGTGGGCACCTTGATGCAGGGTGAGTCGGCGAGGCACTTGGCAAGCTCCATTGCCAAACCCTTGCAGGATTTTGCCATGGCTATGGACACGGCGTCGGGCAGGCAAGCACACGGGGACGCTATTGAACGGCCGCTGGCGGGAAATGGAGCTCCCCTTCGTCTTCAGGGCCAAGCCTCTCGGTTATAGGGGCCTTCAACCGTCTTTTGATCCTTTTCCGTGGTCGGGCCTTGTCACCGTGTCGCCTGCTTGTTGGCGCACTGGCCATTCTCTTAAAAAAATGATGCTCGTAGTACTCTCTCTTTGTATTTTTTATTTTTTTATTTTTAATGGTTTCTTAATTTATGTCTTGGGTTTCTCTTATTGATCATTCAAATATTGGAAATCGGAGGGTTTAACTGTGTTCTTTGATTAAATTCTTGTTTGTTTATTTTTCATCTGACATTCCATCTATTTGTGTAGATATACACATGGGATATACCTTTTTGGTATATTAATTATGGATGAGTGTATTATATTATTTGTATTTAAGAATTAAAATATTGATATTACACGAACTATAGTAATAATTTTATCCATATCATTGTTACGGTTTGATATATTTTATGACTTTGATTGAGATTCAAAATGTGTTACTAATTATCATGTGTGTGTATCCACAAACAAGGTGTTAAAAATAATTATAAAAAAATATAAAAAATTAATATATATAACCACTAAAAAAATCATTTTTAAAAATATAATTTTATTTTTAGAATATATAAAAAAATTTATTATCTTTCAAGAAATTAAGTTAGTTTTTGGTTAAAAGCCACAAAAAATTTCTGTAAAAAGAATGCTTAATTAAAATAAAAATATTAATAATACATTGAATACAGTTTTTAGATAGTTATTTCTAAGATACAAAAATACTTGTAAACTAGGAGAGAATGAGATTTAAAGGAAGACTTGACAAGATTAAAGATGTAATGTTAAACAATTTACACACATTTACACTACTTGTCATCGAAAGATACACATGCAAAATATCCCAATTCACTGTAAAAAACATATACTTTATTAAGTTTTAAACCAAAAGTTTGTAGTAACATTATTATGTCCAAATTCTTTCTTATTGATGCCACCATCATGGTTACCCAACTTCCATTTTTTCAGTACACAATTCATATTTTGAATAAGGTTTTTTAAGAAAATAAATTATTTCAGATTTTTTTAAATGTTATTTTTATGATAGTTTTCGATTTTTTTTCATAGAATGACATTTGTATTAATTATTCTAAATTTATTTTCACACTATTAATTTCTAAACTAGTTTTTATAACTTTCTTTTCACAAGACATAAATAGAAGTTAGTTATAAATATTATTCATTGCATATTAGACTTCATCAAAACATAAAGCAATTTTAGAATCTTGTGTATGTTAAAATGATATATTACAAAAAAGAGAAATTGATCTAGTTTAAAAATGGGTTCTGTTATTTTAATACTTGATGTTGTTCATTTTTACAAAATATGAATTGTTTTGTATCAAACAAAATATTAATTGACTTAAGTATCAATTGGGGTCACAAATGCTTACAAAATATTTAGAGGTTATATATATATTTTTGATATTGTATCAATATGTCTTATGTATACCTGTTTGCTATAAAATATTTTAAATCACGGTTGTGACGTTCAAATAACAAAACTTATAGATGTAAATTTTTACTCCAAGATTGTTGCAACTATTTTATAATTACATTTTTCATTTTGCTACAGAAAACAGTCTTAATATGCCATATGTATAGTAATCTAAAATTCTAATTTCGTTTATGAACTTCAAATTGTCTTCACATATTTCAGTTTTCCTCCAAACAATTTGTGTTCTCTCAAGTCGACAAAAATCTCAAGGAGCAAATACTAACAAACTAACGATTCATGTGAGGTGTACTCAGATTTATCTAGATTTACACATTTGTTTCAACACCTTCCTACGCCACAAAGCCTTCTTTTTACTCTTACACAGACAGGTGTGATTAATATTATATCAAAGCAAGAAACAGAGTGAGATCTGACAGGCACAAATACACATCGTCATTCTTTGAGTAGTTAGAAATTAACTTTCTTTCTACTTGTAAGAATATAACATGTTAATTACCAAAAACTTGCGAAGACTTGAGAGACGTAGTAATGTGCCTAGCCAACTGAAACTCACTAAAGTAGCACCTAGACTATATTTGCTTGCTGATACAACAGTCTTAGACGTATACGTTGGAAAGTGAAGGAATAATCTACTTTCTGACTAAAACTGTCGACAACCCGTGGTTTGCAGAGGAGGTGAACCTCCAAACAGATAAGGGCTTCTTCCAATACAGATAATTGGGCCCTACCTCGATCGACGCAACGCTGCACTGCAGGTATTGGGACACGACGAGTCTGCCACAATCTAACAATTTAAGGATGGGGATCTTGTACCGACGGTAATATGCTTTCTCCACCTGCAGATTACAGACGGAATGCTGGAGCACGTACATAGCTTCTCTTCTGCTCAGCAAAAAGTTGGCATATATTTCCACGTACAACATACCCACTGGCATGTCATAACGAACAGGCTTTCGACAACAAATCCAAAAGCCTGAACAGGAGCGTAGCTTAGCCAGCATTGCATCTTGGGTTAATCCATGTCGCGGAGACTCATGAAGCCGCGATTGACCGACTTCTATTGGTCCGTACCCTAAAGCGTGCGCAGGCAGGTAAGAAACCTCGTCATCATTGAAGAAGAAGTAGAATATTACACGACAATCCCATCCTAGTTTCTGAGCACAGAGAGTGGTGACGGTAGTCCGGATAGCGATTAGATGCGAGTTAGTCATACACCCCTGAAGAGATCAGACCTTTCACATGACATTATGTTCATCCCACGAAATGGAATGACAGCGAAGTCAGTGGGCTGATAAGGTGACACCTTCGGTCAGGCATAGAAAGCAGAGTCAGTATGTCAATTACATCCACCGTCGGTCAAGTTAAGAGCGCATCTAAACCACCAACCGGACATAGTTAGTAACACATCGGGCCCTTACGAGACAGCACTGGAGGCTGGCCTAACACAAATCCAAACACCATCACATGAAAATTGGTTTGCAGATTAATGGAAGAGAAGTAAAATCCTTAATAGTGGTGGTGTTAAAAGAACACCATAGATAAGAGGCCGACGAAACTGTGCAGACTGTTGGTCAGCCTCCGAAACCATACAAGGTACGCCCCTGTCTCTTCAAGGCATACACCACGTCCATCGCCGTCACGGTCTTCCGTCGAGCGTGCTCCGTGTAGGTAACAGCATCCCTAATAACATTCTCCAAGAAAATTTTCAACACTCCACGAGTCTCCTCATAAATTAATCCACTGATACGCTTCACTCCACCACGGCGAGCGAGGCGTCGGATAGCAGGCTTGGTGATCCCTTGGATATTGTCACGCAGAACCTTCCTGTGACGCTTGGCGCCACCTTTGCCAAGTCCCTTGCCTCCTTTCCCGCGCCCAGACATGGTGAGGACGGTCGGAAAACAAATCCCTACAGAACAGAGACTCAAAGGTAGCACAAGGTGGTAACGAACAAGACAGACAGGAGAGCAATGCTCGGGGGGGTGAGGGGCAAACTCTTTATAAAGTCCTCTTCCTGCTGTTACAGAAGGCAACGGATGTGCTGCCGAGACTAGAGTTGGATTCCAAGTCTCGGAAGGCGGGAAGACGTCCACATTCTAATTCTGGAAGACGAATTGGGCGGGAAATGCAGGGCAGGAACCTCGTTGTCAGGGGACATGGCTCGTTTGACGGGCCTCAATCTCACCCGGGCCAGTGAAATCTGCCAACAGTTCCGGATATCAACTTTCCAATCTAGTTTGCAGGGCATTATTTTATTTCATTTTTAAATACAGCGTCTTGGATAAGCATGTCGCTTAGGGACGATGTGGCCATGTCCAAATTTGGCCTGCCACATCGTACCTAAGCGACATGGCCACTACGATCACTACAATAACAAATATTATTGTAGTTGCCATGCCCTGATTGATTAATATGCCGACGCCATTGATGCTTAGTTCTACGTCGATCTTCAGATATGAAATTCCGTGAGATGTTCTGATGGTGTGTTGCTAGTTTTCTGGTTAGTTTTATAATGCTTGTTGTTGTGTGGGAGTCTCTTGAACTTCGCATTCATGTAATCGACTTGTTCTGAAATCGAAGTTCGATTGCTGGTAGATTTTGAGAACTTCCCCGTTTTTGTAGCGTGTCATGCAGCGTTGTGATTGAATATTGAGTTTGTCGGCCATGGTTCTGGTGTGGAATTGTGCGAGACTGGGGTGTAAGGCTGTGAGGTCTGGAGTGTTCACCATGGTGTCGTGGTCGACGTTAGTAGATCTACCTTGTATAATTGCCGTAAGAAATTTTATTGTGTTGAGACTATTAAGGGGTCAGTCATACATTCGGTTGATACGCAGAGTACCTGAATGGCAATTGTGGTGGCGGATCTCATTCGGATCACACATGTGAGCATAATTTCATAAAATATCGATGCCGCTGAGGAACTCATTGCGTCGCCTTATCTTTTTGGATCTGACGAAGCATGATTTGGACTGAGCTGTTCAGGAACTTTCTTATTCCTGGTGACTCGATATATCGTATAGAGTTGCACGATGTTGAAATTTATAGGATGCACCATCCTCTTTGCCGTGTTTGTACTTTATTCCTTGCCATATATTCTAGAGTTACCGTCTGATTTTACATTATTACTTGAATAACTGTGGTCTGGGGTTGTTGTAAGAAAAGCACAAATGCATGTTCTCTCCCTCTTTGAGCTGATCGCACGTGTTTACATCTGCTCATATGTTTTTATGATGGGTAGTAATGAGCTGAAAGTCATGTGATAAACAGTTGGCTTTTGCTAAAATGGTAATACATGGTGGTACAGTGCAGCTCATTCCCTGGCTGAATGTTTGATTATTTACGACTTGGATGGAGCCCGATGGATTGATTGCTCATAATTCTAAGCAACATTGCTCACTATTGGACATAATTTTAAAATCTTAAAATTCTCTTGATGAATATATTTGATGGGGACTAACAGTTCTTGTTGTTGTCTGAAGCCAGTAGGACTTACAATTGTGATTTTGTAGGTGAATGTGGGGCAGGGCTCGTGGGTCTCTGTGCGCAAGCAATCTCCGCACATGACAAGACTGCGACGACAGCACAGGAGGCAACAAAATAGGTATATTCCTGTTATCATTTCTGACCAGATGTGAATGGTTACATTCATCATTTTAGGAAGATGCGCATTCTGGCGAGTCATTAGAAACTTGTCCATTTTCCTATTAGGATGCTTTACATACACTATAAAACTGCAAATGGACTTTTCAGACATACCTCTGATCAAAATGATCTTCGTGGCAATGCGGCTCTTGTCTTCAGTTGCTGATCTCTGATTGGATGGTCGATGTTAGATCTTCTGGCCGTGAAAATTGCCACAGTTGCGATTGAGAGTCGGAGTGAAGTAGATACTACTTCTGGCATGTTAATCTAGGAAGTTTTTAATGCTCAAGCGCCTAAATATTAGGACCAACTTGAAGAAGTACCCGCCTTTGCAGATAAGTAGAAACTAGACGAGTTGAGTGACTGAATGGTTTGTACTTTTCAGATGTTTTAGTAGGAGTTGCCTCTACAGTACTTCTGAAGGAGTCGTGCTTGAGGAATATAAGAAGTATGTCGATCATGGAGGTAGTTGCCAGGTTCTTCTGGAAGCTCTTCTTCACTATTGACATGGCGGTTTTAGCAGAGTAAAACCATTCTTATGTTACGTATAATTGTTGTCTTGTGATGTAGATTTTTGGAGACGCCTCGTGTATCATCTCGTGAATTAGCTGGGACTGATCATTCGACTGTAAAAGCATTAACAAGTAATTTTTCTAGCAGTAGCTTAGCAAACGCTAACATGACTGCTGATTACAAAATTTTATTTTGCTGTCTGATATTCGTAGATTGAATTAGCTTACATAAAGAGTGCAAGTACCTCATAGCAGGTATGGTATTCTTAATGAAATTTCATGGAGGTGAAAGTACTAGTCGGTGCTGTAAATAAGCTTTCTGGATGTACGCAATCTCTTGGAAGTTCTTAAATACTTTTCCATGCTTAGCTTTTGAAATAATTAGCTCTTCAGATCTTGTCATGTGTGTGGACCTGTCACCTCGATACGTGGCAGGAACAAAAGACACAATTTAAATTTTATTATCCCTTATACTGTCATTTTCTCTCAGATTTCCCATATTAACTATTAAGTATTGTCAGTTACTGCTATGGGTATCCTTGCTTGTGGAGGAAATTTCTGTCATAGTTTGAATCTCCCATTACATCTCAATTGCCCTACTCGATTGACTTTGTTCAGCGCAATTGTCCTTTTCGAAGTTCATCCATCGAAACAGTACCTTGTTCAAGGTTGGAAATTTTGGAGTGCGTTGACCGCCGCATTCTTAATACGACCCAAAGCAATCCCTTGGGTTCTATGGTTGGTGAGTCTGGCTAGATGTTTGACCATGTGGGCAGGTTATGAAAATCACTTAGATTAGAAGCAACATTATAGATCATAGGTGCTCCAGAAGGTGTACCTTTTACTCTTCGAGAAATCTTCGTCGTGCTGGTAGGCACCACTTCCAAGCAGAAAATAGCTATTCCAGGTGAATTTTTGTTTCAGATGTGCTTAGATTTGTTGTATGTGGTGGGGTACTTTCTCAAAATTCTTTCGATCACTGTAAATTCCGCTCACGGATTCACGTAGTGTTTGAAAGATGCTGGATCTTTATCGCTAATGAGTGTTCTGTTTTCGCACTTTCAGAACGCACACATATATTTTGATCTCAGTCAACTGGCATTTTTGCTTTCTCTGCAAATAGCGCATCAGGGGATGCGGGTTACGAATTCTCGTGCAGTCTCAATGTCCATGGACAAATGAGCTTCGAATGAATTGATCTATGAGTTAACGCACCAATTGGTTTTTACTTTTAGTTTTCTGAACGTTCCAACGATTGTGCGCTAGATCAGCAGACAGTACCACGAAAAACCCTGACTTGAGTGGTTTTCTAAAGTCCAGTTCTAGCTGAATGTGGTCTTGCCAAGCAATGCTGGGCATGGGAGTTTCCGTTTGGGCTTACCACTTGTACGAACTCTTTTGTGACCAAGAGAGTTGATTGAAACTATACGTCATTCCAGTTTGGGCCCACCTTCCCTGAACAGTGTCATACTCAATCAATGGAGCACCGGAATTGCTCGATCTATTGGCATCCACCGTCGAAAGCAAGGGGGCTATGATACGGCACATGATAAGTGACTCCGTAGGAATCTCCGAGTCTTCGGGTGAAGCAGAGGCCCTGTTGTCCGCTCAACGAAAGCTCTGGCCTCGTCTTGGTCACAAGGACATTACATGATTACACAGGAGCTGAAAGTGCTTGACGTGGAGCAGTCACAATATAGTTGGTACCAAATCCTATCTTACTGCTTGTACGTTGTGAAAGGTCGATCTCATCAGTGTCATAAAATTGTCCAGCATTTAAATTACTCAAAGGTTCTCCAACTCATGTCACGGACAACATTCTTTGTTCTAGCTCATGTAACAAAACAGAAGCCTGAAGTGCAGTTCTATGGAAAGAAGCACAACCCCGATTCTCGGCCAGCATCCAGCGTGGTTGTTCATTAGAGAATGGTCTGAAATCACCACCTCGAGAGAAATGCCTCTTACTCAAGGCTTATAGCTTGGAAAATGAAGTTGATATTTTCAGTTGTTCACGTTCTCAGGTGTCGTCCAGCGATACGAATGAGTATATGACAGTGGGTTGCACCACTTGGCTTTCCCCTGAAAACCGGTTTGCCATTGCTCTTTGTATCGGTTGAGCCAGCTAACTACCGGTCATTAAAGACGAAGGAGCCGTACTTGGATCCCCGCCTATTGGAGAGAAGGGCTGATAAGAACGCCAAGAACTCTGTCTCTTGTCCTCTTGTACTCCCAACATGTGCATGTAAATAACAGTACTGCCCAATTGTCGCGGTCCATTTTCTGTCGATGCACACAAGCTTCAAGAAGCAGCGCAAGTTACCACTTTCATTGTCTGCAGTGTTGCGGGGCGTGGTGCGGAGAGGAAGTGAAAAAAGGTCAAAAGTGATCAGTATTTGCAAAGGGCTGCTGATGAGGTGGATGATTTGCAATCTGGATGATTCGCAATCCCACTTGCATCTGGATGATTCGCAATCGTCTACTTCTGGTCGCCTGCTCATGAAAGTTATTCCAAGGAACCGATTCATCTAAGAAGGCGTCATTCTCGACGTCTGCTTTCACCTGCGCCTATATATTATGCTCCATGCTTAATGCTTCATGCCGCATCCTTGTTCTTTTGTAGGCGATTTCTGTACAAGTAGGGACTATCGGGACTGGTGTCGAATCTGTGACTATTGCAGAGGATTTTTATTTTTTCGTTTTGTTCTTTTTTGAGCAGTCGATTACTGAATCTTAATTCGAGACCATAAGCTCAATTCAAGCGACATGCAGGAGTCGAGAGAGATCTGGATTGCTTTTTGAAGCTCGATTCAAGATATCTTATGATAATACTCAAATTCAGAACGTACAGATTGTAGATCTAACTTGTCTTGACTACACACTTGAAAACAAATCGTTTTCACGTATATACCCAGCCATGAACATGTTAGAATCCTGAGGACTGTAGTAATACTGTTGAAGACACGCTTGTAACTTGGGGTGGGGTCTGGGCATTCTGCACGATTGCAGTGACAAAAGTCCGAGAAAAATAAGGATAAGATCTAAAAGAAGCTTCTATTTATGATGGCTACTTGAGGTCTTGCATCGTGCTGTCCCGTTCAAAGTTTTGATGAAGTAGACTTGGAGAAGTGGCTCAAGGCTGACCAATTTTAGCCGTGTGAATGTAGAGTCATTGGTGTTATTTTTGCATACATGAGGGTCAAAAGCACAGCAGACGACACTTGCACATTTCTTTTGAAATCACTAGCTAAGCTATAATCCTCTTACTTGCTCAAAGGGTGTCATTACCATCGGATGTATCAAAAGCCTCGAATTTATCATAAATTTCTTTCTTCCTTTTAGTGACCTCCGAGTGATGCTGCGTTTATTGAGAGTCAAAGTTTGGATCCTCGCTATCTTTATCTTTTTGTAGCTTGGTGTTGGACTACTCAGCTGATGAATGCTGAATATGGCATCCTCGTCGGGTGTACCCGTAATACCACAGATAGAACTACCCCCAGGTTTCAGGTTTCATCCCACTGACGAGGAGTTGGTGCTGCATTATCTTTGGCGAAAGACGGAATCGGCGACGTTCTCCATCCCTGTCATCACCGAGCTCGACCTCTACAAATATGATCCTTGGGACCTTCCAGGTGCGCCAGCAATCTCTCAAGCATATTCTTCTTTAAACTGTACGCATCTCTTAGTATCAAACGACCCACGAAATAAAACGTTAACCTGTTCGAATCTATTTCAGAATCTTATTTGTGAACTCTCTCCATCCCAGGCGGTGTTGCGATATTTCTGGGTAGATTGAGTTTAAGATGTATTTATTGTAGCACATACTTCGATAAGATTAATGTTGGTTTGCTCTGACATGCAGGGAAGGCAATTTTAGGAGAAGGAGAGTGGTATTTTTTCAGTCCAAGGGACCGGAAGTACCCAAATGGGGCTCGACCCAACCGGGCTGCAGCTTCAGGATTCTGGAAAGCTACGGGGACTGATCGACCGGTACATACATCACGGGGAACACTGCAGAAGATTGGAGTGAAGAAAGCTCTAGTGTTTTATAAGGGTCGGGCCCCTAAGGGTGTGAAGACTACCTGGGTCATGCATGAGTATCGCTTGGCTGATGGCATCTCCCCCTCTTCAAATACTACTAGAAAACCAGGTTCATTGAGAGTAAGTCTCGTGCCAAATTTCACCGGAATCTAAGAAGCATGCATTTTGATACCAGTTCATACAGTGTAGATACTTTCAAGCTTTGAAATGCTATGCTGAGTGACGTTATTTCAAAAGTCAACCTCTCTCGCTATTTACACGTCAGCGTCATGGATTCCTAAATAAGAAAAAGGTCATCAGATCATGGAAAATGTGTGCTTTCATGAAAAGTTAGGTTTCGAGTCGTCTCGAAATCACACTTCAAGCTTCAAGTTCCAGCATGAATTGCAGATGTGGGGAACGATAACTGACTGATGTCTGGGATATGTTACCTAATTTAGTGTAGATTATTTGGTGTGTGCATCCCCATGCAGCTGGATGATTGGGTCCTTTGTCGAATATTCAAGAAGATTCCGAGTGTTCAAAGGGGGTCTAGCATTGACCTGAATAATTCCGACGTTAATGAGGTTAGATTGGGTTTTCAAGGACTTCAACCATTGTTGTGAGGAGAGATTGCTTTAACTGCAGTAAGTATTTCAAGGCATTGAAGTTTCATCGCTTTGAATATAATTTAAATGAAACTATAAACTTCGTAGATATAGGTAATCAATTGTTGGGCTGCATCAGGATTTCAATTATATTTGTGATGTAATTGATGAAGATGTGGATTTCGATGGGCAGGTGCTTGCATCTTTACCTGAAATCAACAACCGCAGCCTCGTGCTGCCAGATTTAGGTCCCTCATCCAGTGGGATTATGGATCTAGACCCCTTGTGGGATGAATGCGATCCAGATGAAGCACGTTATAAGGACCAGCAACATGTCGACAAAGGAGGAGCACGAGATCCTGATCCTGATCGGGCGAGCATTGTTGCACTACATGGAAACACCATTCGAAGGGTCCAATCCCGATCCAACGAATATCTGGAGACCCTTTCAAATGGTTCTGCTTTCCATCATACAAGCACCCCGTCAGCGCTCGATCATGCCGACTTCAGCAGGGAAAGATCACAGCCTACTGCTACGGTTTATCAATCAACAATAGTGAGCACCTTCCAAACTTACCCCGGTGTACAAAGACATACACAGAGGGATTCCTCAGGATATTTGGATGCAATGCTACCCTTCTGATATATCAACTGGTGCTATGCTCCACTGCAAAAGCAACCGCAGGTCCAAATGCAAGGAGAGGAACATGTAACGAATTATTAAAAGATTCTATGCCATCGCTGATGGCAAGTTTGAAACGAAAGCACTGTAATCGTATAACAGTTTTTTCTTTCTTCTTCGTCTTCTTTGTCTTCTTCTATTTTTGTTTTCAGTATACAATTGTGATGGTTTAATGCGAATAAGGTACCTGTGCGTTTCTGATGGGGACCGTACCGAGGGATGAATCATTGTGTAGCACCGCAACTAAATGTGACCACATAATAAAGCTCTTGCATAAACGATTTTATAGAATTTAAGGACTGGTTCTGTAGCTGCGTGATGTTGCAAAGCTTGAGAGCGAGCCGTCTTGTACTGACTGACTCACAAACAAAGGGTGGGTTTACATTCCGTCTGGTCAGGTGAGAAATCTTAGAATCCATTCAATCTTTAATTTTTGGTTGGGAAGTTAACAGATTCTCTAGAATCGTTAGCTTCATTAGAAAACCACGCAATGATTTTTGTTAATGTTAAAAGGGAATGACTGCTTGCATGACAGCACTTTTCCATGATCGGAGTCCACTTGGGTTGGTTCTTCATTCTATCGAGACACTTCCTGCAGCACCACAACTATCTTTCCGGAGTTTTAGCCTGTGATTACTTTCTACGATTTGGGTCGAAAACAACCCATTCTGATCTTGATCCTTCACTTGTCCGGTTCCAAGTGATTCAGGTTCCACAGATTTCGTGAAATCCACTGATTCATTATCACAGTGGTACAAGGAGCACCTCTTTATTTGCTTCACGGTGATAAGTCCACTAGAAATGTAAACAAGTGAAAGCAACTTTCCTTTTTGATGCAAACTCACCCAGAAATATTATCACAATTTGTGATTCACTGCTCCATGCCTTCCACGCAAGCTCGTGGCAGTGGAAAATATGCACAAATCCGCTTTGTTCAGCTTCAAGGATTCATATGCTGTTTTAGATGCCTCTTGTAATTTTCTAGTATTTTTCTCTAGCTATAACATTTTTAGAATTAAACATATAATTATAATGTTTTAATGAAAGAATTCTTTCTATAATTTCTGCTAATAAAAAAAATGGTTTTTATTTATATTTTAAAGTTTTCAAATTTTCGGTTTTATTTGTTAAGTTTTTTTTGAAGGTTTTTTCCTATTTAAATTTATTTATTATTTAATTAATTTATATTACGCTTTATTGTATTTCAAATGAATTAAATTTGGTAATTTTAAAAGATGACTATGCATGTTTTTAAGTTTTTTCTAAACGATATATTTAAGTATTTTGTAATAGATAAAATCTGATCTATTGTCTAAAATATAAATTGATAGTTTTTTTTGAATGAAAAAAATATCAAAAATATATTATTGCATATATAAAATTTTATAAATGGATTTTTAAGTATTTTATGTAATTTTTAATTTATAAAAAACTCCTTCATTTATATTTAAAATTTAAAATTTATAAAAAATATAATTTTTAATAATGTAAATTTATGAAATAAGTACTTAGTATTTTCAAGATTACTTAAAATATCAAATCCAAAATATCACTATTCAAACCTTATTATTCCGTCATATTTTGTAAAGTATTACTTGATATATTAGTGACGTGTTGAATGATATCAATTTGACCTAACATGCTAACTTAACATTCTACATCCATCTTTCTCACTCTTTTTTGCTATTCTTTATGCTTTAGAAGAAGATTCCAAGCTTTGTAGATAAAAGGCAAAAGAAGTCATTTCGATAGAAATGAATATGCTACAATTATTTTATAGCTAAAAGACTTAGTAAACTTCCAAATGTTAGAGAATTCAAGTAAGATTGAGTACTTTCAAGGCCAAGTTTGGCGCCGCCTCTGAGTGGTCAATTGGTAATAGTGCTAGTATCAATGAAATCAATAAAAAATAGGACATATTCATTGTGGTTGCAAAGTTGGCAGATACATATTCACACTTTAAAAGAATGCATGCTTTGTATGGTGAAATGCCAAATATGACTACTCTTTGTAAGAGGGACTCTATGGTGATAACAAATACTATCCCACCAATATCATTCTGAGACTCTATGGCAGTATTGATTACCAACTTAGTATTAACATTGCTCAACTTAAATTTATTGCTAAAAAAAAATCTACTCAAAGATACCTAAGAGCCTTTATTGTAAGACAAATATGATGAACGACAAGAAGTATGCAAGAAGGATTATAATTTCTTACTCTTGTCTATTTTTCTCAGATCCTTGTCTTTATCACCAACATCACTTTTTATAAGACATCTATTACTTGGCAATACTATTATTGTCATTTTAAAAAAAAGAGTTAGCTACTTATTTCAAAGTTTGAAAAGAAATCTCCAAAGAGACACTACATAATAGCCAATACGTTTGTGGAGTCATCACAATAAAAAATCACTATAATGTTAGAGTGTTGGCTCTATCAAAACAAGTTAATGAGAGAATTAAGGCTTGCTTACAAAAAAAATTGAAAATGAAAGAGAGGCTAAAGAGGGATAGGATTGTCAAGGACAAGAACTAGATGAAAAACAATTCAGACAAGTGAGCCTTCACTCAAAGAGAGGTAACAAAATATAAATAAACAAGTATATATATTGAAAGAGAAACTGGAATGGCTATTGCCAAAACACAAGAAAACTAGAGACCCTTGAAACTAGACTAGAAGCAAGAAAGGACTTGATAAGAGTGAAGAAGCCTTCACTCTTGTCTCTATATATACTATCTAACTAGGGGCTACGTGGCGACGTTCTATAGAACCTCCAATATGTGTTGACTTTGTATGACACATGCCTTGACTTACAAGGCAAGTTTTTTTACGTGTGGGCCACATAGTTAGCTTGATCTTCAAGCTAACAACATGTGTGGCACATGGCCAACTTGTTGACCACGTTTCTAATCCAAAAAGTCAATTAAAGACACCTATGAAGTCAAAGCAACATCTAAGAAGTTTCTAGGAAGCTTCCATATTAAATATTATAGAATTAACTTACTTTTATCTACTTTTACTTACTTCTACCTATTTCTATATGTAATTATTAGCTTACATGATTATGGTCGTGACATTACCCCCCTTTCTAGAGACGAGTTCCACGAGGAGCGGTCATCATATGTTGAAGAAATCTATGATGCGACGAATTGTATTCGCCACATACTCTGATCTCTGTTCTCTTCGAAGATGATTGATAGGGCCTCTCAACCATCGGTAGTGTCCCATACCAGGGCGGAAAGACCACCCAGTTATTTGATCATTGTTGAGGCCTTCGTAACTTCCTTCGAATAGAATATTTGAAACACCATCAGGAGTTGTTCCTACCTCTAGCAAAATCACCAAACATCGGGAGTCCCTTCCCAAATCGTGATACCAAATACGTTGTATCTCACCATCTATTCGAGGAAGAACATGTCGTTCTTGAAGATCTTCATCTCGATTGCGTCGTCTTGAAGGTTGTGACAATCGTAATGTCTCGTCCGACAGGTCAGCAAATGAAGGCTCTTGAGTTGAATCCGCTGGTTGTTGGTTCTCCATCTCTTGAGCACCACTACTACAACGAAGCTACGAACAAGAATTGAAAGTAGAATGTTATCTTACCTAGATGTTGTTTCTTTTATAAAGAAGGTTTTCATCTTGATTTTGATAGATGTCGTCGATGAAAAGCCTCCATCGCCTTTGCTGCATTTGTAAGATTCTTTATTGGCTCCAATGTGCATTCATTAATACCATATCCACGCCAATGGACAAGATATTCTAATTTATTTCGGCGTCGCCTTGAATCTAAGACTTCTTCTACTTCAAACTCTTCATTATTGTCCACTTCTATAGGAGGAGGTGGAGCTTGTCGTCTTCTTGGTATGTCCACTGTCTTATATGGTTCAAGAAGAGACACGTGGAATACTGGATGGATTTTCATTGACTTTGGTAGATGTAAAAGATATGCACCTAGATTGATTTGTGCAGAAATAGAAAATGGTCCCAGCCTTCGATAGTCCAACTTGTCACAAGGACGAATGGTCTTGATATTGCGACGAAGTAGCCATACCTTATCATCCAAGACGAATGATGGTTGTTCCTTTCGATAGACATCCGCATTGGCCTTTTGTTGTTCTTGAGCCTCTTTTAACTATGCCTTCATCGTTGCATGTAGTTCTGATAAATGAATTGCCAAATCTTTCGCAACATGATTATCAACTTTTGAAAAGTCAAAAGTATCAAGTCGTGGATGATAACCATAATTAGCAAAGAAAGGTGTTTGTTTTGTAGAAGAGTGTACCGTGTTATTATAAGCAAACTCTGCCAATGGCAAAAGAGTTGTCCAATCATCTTGTTGGTAATTAATGGTACATCTTAAATATTGCTCCAAAACTTGATTATCATGCTCTGTTTGTCCATCAGTTTGAGGATGGAATGCCGAAGATAGTTTTATATCCACTTTAAGGATCTTGAAAAGAGTCCTCCAAAATCTTGATACAAATTGAGTTCCCCTATCTGATATAATATCCTTGGGTAATCCATGATAGCGATAGATATTGTCAAGAAAGAGCTTAGCTGTTTCTTCACCTATGATAGATTTTGTACATGGTACAAAATGTGCCATCTTGGTAAAACGATCTACTATCACAAATATAGAGTCATAAGAACCTGAGATTGGAAGATCCGTGATGAAGTCCATAGAAACAGGAGACTATGGTTGTTTTAGAATGGGTAATGGCTGAAGAAGTCCAAAAGGTCGATGACGAGGAGTTTTCGATCTTGAGCAAACTTCACATGATTGTACAAAATCTTTAACTGCCTTCCACATTTGAGGCCACTATAAATCCCTAGATATCAGCTCCAAAGTCTTATTATATCCAAAATGTCCTACTACTGGGAAGTTGTGACAAACTTGAAGAACACGTAAACGAGCTTCTCCTTTTAGAACATATAGGCGTCCTTCGAAATGGAGTAGGTTGTTCTTGAATTCAAATTTAGATGGATCATAAGATTTAAAAGCATTGTTCTTGATATCATGAACAAGAGGGTCTAAAGACATACTTAACTGGACTTGCTTAAGGAAAGTTAAATCAACAGTCAATGTTGATTTTATTGCTCGAAGATGAAATTATTTCGGCTTCAAGAGAATCGTTCTTTGTTGCTCAAAAGCTGCATCTCCTTCTTTTGGTGCAAGATAAGAATGTCTAGAAAAGGCATCGGACAAACCTTGTTGTTTTCCTGGCCGATAAGTGATGATGAACTCGAATCTTGATAAAGACATG